AAATAAATCGATGTAAATAGCAGTGAATCATAACCATGATACAAATTTTTCCTGTCTGGCGCTTATACTATTGTTTGTGTCTTCTTTTTGGTAAAATACTCAGTGAATTGTATCCTTTGAGAATTTGGGGATTGCTAACTTGTACTTAAATAACCATATGTCGATAAAACGTTTTAAACAAATATTGTATATGTATCAACAAATTATTTATGCACACTAATGGTAATTCAGTTTCTATCGTTTTCTGAAAATAAGAAAAGTATGTTAAATACATGTTGAACTTAATATAAATTAATGGCATTAAATGACAAACTTCTGAAATTAATGGAATAAATGACAAATTTTATAATAATGACCTCTGATATATGCAATAAGACAGGGCAGTTGACACAGGTCAGTTGTCATGCAGGACAAGACACATTCCAAATAAAATGCAGTTAGAGTTGATTTACATTAATTTGCCGTATGTTTATTTATTTAGTAGTTTTATTGGAAATTCCGTTTTATTAGAAAGTAAGGTTTTATAATGTTTATCCTTTGTATATCAAATACGAAAATCATATGTTTTATTCAGTTTTAAATTTCTAACTATTAGCATATATCTGGCACAAAATAATCATGGCTTTGCGTAATTTTAATATAATATAAGAAATATAAGATTCAAAATATATGTTTTTTGGAAATATCTTACTCAATAAGTGTCGCGTCCAAATACAAATCTTGCAGTGCTTATGCGGAAAAAGTAGTCAATGTTGACGACATAGTTCACGACCCGAAGGGGGGCACTATGTCTAAAACTAAGGCTACTAATTCTCTTTGCTATTTCTGTATTAACTTTTATCTGGTATGGAATCAAATTTAAAAAAAAAAACGTTTTAAGATATCTACTTCATTGAAAACTGTTTCAGGAGACTTAATGTTGAAGCATTTGTGCTTTTAATAAACAAAAATTTTAAACAAGATTAAATTGGTCATACATTATTTTTGAACAAAGGAAAATATGGCATATGTGTTACCTGCGGTTAGATAATAACAAATAGGATAAAGTTTGAACACTTACCTTTACTATGTATGATCCTCAAATGGTGAACTGAATTTGCGCAATAATCTGCACAATGACTTGTTTTTAATCAGACTTCAGGAAACTTTCAGCTATATAAATAGATTTCATCATTAAGCCTTCAAATAGAGGTCGGATTTACCTGGATCGTAAAATAGCGTTATATGGAATAAATTAAAGTCAATGAAAATAATAGACATATGTTTTTACCATATATAGCTTCTAGCCATTTTTAGATTGATATGTTATCTGTCTAGACAGATAAGTATTAAATTAAGGACAAGCATTATACATACAACCTTTTTTCCACATAGGGTAAAGAAATTTTTTGATCGATAAGAAGAATAAGAATATTTGTTCACATGCGTAACGAAATTTTTGCTTATTTAATCATCCGAGAGTAACCGTTCAAAACGTTCAAAAACACCAAAAAAATATACCAACAATTGGGTACCATGTTTACATCCTCGTCTTATGTCAGGTTGTCCCCCAATTTTTTGAATATATTATGTTAAGAAACCCATTAATAAATATTCACGCCATATAACGATATCACTTGGATACAAAAAATACCAAAAGCTATGTAGAATTATTTTTAACCACCGTTGTGTCTTGGTGGCCTTGCTGGAATACACTTTTCTGTCTTCGTTGGCAAAGGACAGTAATTCTGTACAGCTGGCCTGGTTACCGTCAGAGTTGTACATCTTCCTGGAAGGGTTGAAGCAGTCATCATTTCAGTATTACATAACTGCATTTCCTCTGATGCAACAAAGTAGTCGGTTTCCTGGTTACATCTTGATGCAGACCTACACTTGTGGAGTTTAAGTTGTCGTAGCCGACATTCTGGTCTATGATTATTATCCGTCATTTCATCCATGTATCCCATTTCCCTGAAAAATGGTTTGATATCTTCCAATTCGTTTCGGACAAGTGTATTATGTTCATTTAGGCGGTTTTGTATTTGTTGAATTGGTAAATTAAAATCACCTCCTATCAGGATTTCCACTCCAGAAATCCACCCAAGATATTGAGTCAACCATAGGTAACGCTGATGATGGCATATCAGGGTTGTCCCTTGGCAAAAATAAAATATCGGGCTCATCGTGTCCGATTATTTCGTTCAGGTAAGACTGTCGATAGTTTTGATACTGTTTGCCTTTCCTACCAGAAGCATTCATACTAATTATCCTTAATCTATCTGTATCTCTTCCCATTGTTCCCATATGGCGCATATCATTTGTATATTGTCGATAAAACGTTTTAAACAAATATTGTATATGTATCAACAAATTATTTATGCACACTAATGGTAATTCAGTTTCTATCGTTTTCTGAAAATAAAAAAAGTATGTTAAATACATGTTGAACTTAATATTAATTAATGGCATTAAATGACAAACTTCTGAAATTAATGGAATAAATGACAAATTTTATAATAATGACCTCTGATATATGCAATAAGACAGGGCAGTTGACACAGGTCAGTTGTCATGCAGGACAAGACACATTCCAAATAAAATGCAGTTAGAGTTGATTTACATTAATTTGCCGTATGTTTATTTATTTAGTAGTTTTATTGGAAATTCCGTTTTATTAGAAAGTAATGTTTTATAATGTTTATCCTTTGTATATCAAATACGAAAATCATATGTTTTATTCAGTTTTAAATTTCTAACTATAAGCATATATCTGGCACAAAATAATCATGGCTTTGCGTAATTTTAATATAATATAAGAAATATAAGATTTAAAATATATGTTTTTTGGAAATATCTTACTCAATAAGTGTCGCGTCCAAATACAAATCTTGCAGTGCTTATGCGGAAAAAGTAGTCAATGTTGACGACATAGTTCACGACCCGAAGGGGGGCACTATGTCTAAAACTAAGGCTACTTATTCTCTTTGCTATTTCTGTATTAACCTCATCTGGTATGGAATCAAATTTAAAAAAAAAAACCGTTTTAAGATATCTACTTCATTGAAAACTGTTTCAGGAGACTTAATGTTGAAGCATTTGTGCTTTTAATACACAAAAATATTAAACAAGATTCAATTGGTCATACATTATTTTTGAACAAACGAAAATATGGCATATGTGTTACCTGCGGTTAGATAATAACAAATAAGATAAAGTTTGAACACTTACCTTTACTATGTATGATCCTCAAATGGTGAACTGAATTTGCGCAATAATATGCACAATGACTTGTTTTTAATCAGACTTCAGGAAACTTTCAGCTATATAAATAGATTTCATCATTAAGCCTTCAAATAGAGGTCGGATTTACCTGGATCGTAAAATAGCTGTATATGGAATAAATTAAAGTCAATGAAAATAATAGACATATGTTTTTACCATTTATAGCTTCTAGCCATTTTTAGATTGCTATGTTATCTGTCTAGACAGATAAGTATTAAATTGAGGACAAGCATTATACATACAACCTTTTTTCCACATAGGGTAAAGAAATGTTTTGATCGATAAGAAGAATAAGAATATTTGTTCACATGCGTAACGAAATTTTTGCTTATTTAATCATCCGAGAGTAACCGTTCAAAACGTTCAAAAACACCAAAAAACTAGAGGCTCTAAAGAGCCTGTGTCGCTCACCTTGGTATATGTGCATATTAAACAAAGGACAAAGATGGATTCATGACAAAATTGTATTTTGGTGATGGTGATGTGTTTGTAGATCTTACTTTACTGAACATTCTTGCTGCTTACAATTATCTCTATCTATAATGAACTTGGCCCAGTAGTTACAGTGGAAATTATTTTGTAAAAATTTACAAAAATTTACAAAATTTATGAAAAAATTGTAAAAAATTGACTATAAAGGGCAATAACTCCTTAAGGGGTCAATTGACAATTTTGGTCATGTTGAATTATTCGTAGATCTTACTTTGCTGTACATTATTGTTGTTTACAGTTTATCTCTATCTATAATAATATTCAAGATAATAACCAAAAACGACAAAACTTCATTAAAATTACCAATTCAGGGGCAGCAACCAAACAACGATTTGCCTGATTGGTCTGAAAATTTCAGGGCAGATAGATCTTGACCTGATAAACAAATTTACCCCATGTCAGATTTGCTCTAAATGCTTTGGTTTCAGAGATATGAGCCAAAAACTGCATTTTACCCTATATACTATTTTTTAGTCATGTCGGCCATCTTGGTTCGCGGGCGGGGTCATCGGACACATTTTTTAAACTATATACCCTAATGATGATTGTGGACAAGTTTGGTTAAATTTGTCTTAGTAGTTTCAGAGGAGAAGATTTTTGTAAAAGATTACAAAAATTTACGAAAAATGGTTAATAATTGATTATAAAGGGCAATAACTCCTTAAGGGGTCAACTGACCATTTTGGTCAAGTTGACTTAATTGTAGATCTTACTTTGCTGAACATTATTGCTGTTTACAGTTTATCTCTATCTATAATAATATTCAAGATAATAACCAAAAACGGCAAAATCTCCTTAAAATTACCAATTCAGGGGCAGCAACCCAACAACGGGTTTCCAGATTCATCTGAAAATTTCAGGGCAGATAGATCTTGACCTAATAAACAATTTTACACCATGTCAGATTTGCTCTAAATGCTTTGGTTTCAGAGATATAAGCCAAAATCTACATTTTACCCCTATGTTCTATTTTTAGCCATGGCGGCCATCTTGGTTGGTTGACCGGATCACCGGACATATTTTTAAACTAAATACCCCAATAATGATTGTGACCAAGTTTAGTAAAATTTGACCCAGTAGTTTCAGAGGAGAAGATTTTTGTAAAAGTTAACAGACGACGCCGGACGACGACAACGACGGACGACGGACGCAAAGTGATGAGAAAAGCTCACTTGGCCCTTCGGGCAAGGTGAGCTAAAATACCAATAATTGGCTACCATGTTTACATCCTCGTCTTATGTCAGGTTGTCCCCCAATTTTTTGAATATATTATGTTAAGAAACCCATTAAAAAATATTCACGCCATATAACGATATAACTTGGATACAAAAAATACCAAAAGCTATGTAGAATTATTTTTAACCACCGTTGTGTCTTGGTGGCCTTGCTGGAATACACTTTTCTGTCCTCGTTGGCAAAGGACAGTAATTCTGTACAGCTGGCCTGGTTACCGTCAGAGTTGTACATCTTCCTGGAAGGGTTGAAGCCGTCATCATTTCAGTATTACATAATTGCATTTCCTCTGATGCAACAAAGTAGTCGGTTTCCTGGTTACATCTTGATGCAGACCTACACTTGTGGAGTTTAAGTTGTCGTAGCCGACATTCTGATCTATGATTATTATCCGTCATTTCATCCATGTATCCCATTTTCCTGAAAAATGGTTTGATATCTTCCAATTCCTTTCGGACAAGTGTATTATGTTCATTTAGGCGGTTTTGTATTTGTTGAATTGGTAAATTAAAATCACCTCCTATCAGGATTTCCACTCCAGAAATTCACCCAAGATATTGAGTCAACCATAGGTAACGATACGCAAACTGAGAGCGTTCCTGTGATGTTGTTTGAGAAAGCTCCCAATTGAAAATGATACAATGGAACTGCTTGACGATATGTTGAGTCGGTTTAGGAGCCAGGATATCGACTAAGGGATACATTAGTTTGCCCTGCTGTATACCAGGAACAACTAAGGTGTATTAGATCGAACCAGTTTGGGGTTTTCAATTACAATCTCTTCTTATCGTACAAAAGTACAAGTTCGTGATTATGAGCGACTTGTGCTTGACGATAATCAGTTAACACTGATGATGACATATCAGGGTTGTCCCTTGGCAAAAATAAAATATCGGGCTCATCGTGTGCGATTATTTCGTTCAGGTAAGACTGTCGATAGTTTTGATACTGTTTGCCTTTCCTACCAGAAGCATTCATACTAATTATTCTTAATCTATCTGTATCTCTTCCCATTGTTTCTGAAAGCGTAATAATGCTGTTTGTTATTAAATCTTCTATTTTTATTCTTTATACAGCTACCTTTTTGAATATCCATAGTGTATCGAAGTGTAAATAAATATTTGCTCTCCATTCCTTAAAACTGATTTTCAGAAAATGTAGTACAATACATTCACAGATTAATGGTCTGCTGTCCAATAATTCAACGATTGAATATACATGAGTTCAGTAATATATGAGGATATGCAATACATGTAAAGGTAAATTAGATCTTATAGTGTTTTTGTAAATTTATTTATTTGTATTTATTCTTGTTTTCATCTTATCACATTTAGTTTCGTACATATATAAATACTTCAATTTTAATAACATATTTTGCTCACCTTCAAGTTGTTTTTCTTCTAAGATATCTTTCTAGAATTTTGCTCGCTGAAACACAGAATTTATCTGAAATGAGATAAGAAAATTGAAGTGGTTTTTTGGTAACTGATCGATACTGTCTCGGATTTTTTGACTATCCTCATTTTCTTAAATATTTTTAAAACGGTTTTATGATACATGTTTTTGAAAGAATTATGGAAGTTCAATTGTTTACTCTCCTTTTAAGGAACTAGCTCACTGGCAAGGACAAATATATCAGGAATATTTTGTTTTATACGAAGTAAAAACGTGTCATTCCGTGAGATGATTAATAATTTTAGTATTTCTTATTTATTTAATTTGTTGAAATGCAACACATCAAACATAATTTAAATTAAGACATATGGCGCATATCATTTGTATATTGTCGATAAAACGTTTTAAACAAATATTGTATATGTATCAACAAATTATTTATGCACACTAATGGTAATTCAGTTTCTATCGTTTTCTGAAAATAAGAAAAGTATGTTAAATACATGTTGAACTTAATATAAATTAATGGCATTAAATGACAAACTTCTGAAATTAATGGAATAAATGCCAAATTTTATAATAATGACCTCTGATATATGCAATAAGACAGGGCAGTTGACACAGGTTAGTTGTCATGCAGGACAAGACACATTCCAAATAAAATACAGTTAGAGTTGATTTACATTAATTTGCCGTATGTTTATTTATTTAGTAGTTTTTTGGGAAATTCCGTTTTATTAGAAAGTAATGTTTTATAATGTTTATCCTTTGTATATCAAATACGAAAATCATATGTTGTATTCAGTTTTAAATTCGAACTATTAGCATATATCTGGCACCAAACAATCATGGCTTTGCGTAATTTTAATATAATATAAGAAATATAAGATTCAAAATATATGTTTTTTGGAAATATCTTACTCAATAAGTGTCGCGTCCAAAAACAAATCTTGCAGTGCTTATGCGGAAAAAGTAGTCAATGTTGACGACATAGTGCACGACATGAAGGGGGGCACTATGTCTAAAGCTAAGGCTTCTAATTATCTTTGCTATTTCTGTATTAACTTTTATCTGGTATGGAATCAAATTTAAAAAAAAAACGTTTTAAGATATCTACCTCGTTGAAAACTGTTTAAGGAGACTTAATGTTGAAGTATTTGTGCTTTTAATAAACAAAAAAATATTAAACAAGATTAAATTGGTCATACATTATTTTTGAACAAACGAAAATATGGCATATGTGTTACCTGCGGTTAGATAATAACAAATAGGATAAAGTTTGAACACTTACCTTTACTATGTATGATCCTCGAATGGTGAACTGAATTTGCGCAATATCTGCACAATGACTTGTTTTTAATCAGACTTCAGGAAACTTTCAGCTATATAAATAGATTTCATCATTAAGCCTTCAAATAGAGGTCGGATTTACCTGGATCGTAAAATAGCTTTATATGGAATAAATTAAAGACAATGAAACAAATAGACATATGTTTTTATCATATATGGCTTCTAGCCATTTTTACATTGATATGTTATCTGTCTAGACAGATAAGTATTAAATTGGGGACAAGCATTATACATACAACCTTTTTTCCACATAGGGTAAAGAAATGTTCTGATCGATAAGAATAATAAGAATATTTGTTCACATGCGTAACGAAATTTTTGCTTATTTAATCATCCGAGAGTAACCGTTCAAAACGTTCAAAAACACCAAAAAAATACCAACAATTGGCTACCATGTTTACATCCTCGTTTTATGTCACTGGTAGAAATTTGTCTCATTAACAATCATACCATTCCATCTTATGTTCATATATTTCAACTGATATGCGTAAATTCATGATCTAGTGCAAACGGTTTATTACTTTTCATGTTGCATTTGAATCGATATTATTTTTTACAAAAAAGACATAGATGTGCTCGATCCCTCTTGTATTGGTAGTATCCTTAATTTTATGCATCAATTGTAAATTTAATTTGAATTTTATTGAAATGATAATTGATGAGTGAATAGACATCGGTATTAATCTGAAATTAAATAAAAAGCATTTATTTATTATTATATGGGTGTACTTTTGTGTCTAGTACGTTAAAAATGTATTGGTCTCATTTGTGATTTAAGTTACGAGTAGCAATTCTATCTTTAAATTATTTGTTGATTCAAATAGATAAATATAATAGGAACTTATTTTGTTACGTGAATCATGAAAAATGTATTATTCGCTCGCCTGCAGGTCGAGCATTATCGATGTTTCTGTCAATACCATATTACATTGGGGAATATATATATATATTACGGTTATGGCCTCTTCACCTTAAACTCCTAATTGATTATTTATTTTCTGATAATGATTGTCTTATATCTAACATTATAGGTAAATTTTCGTGTTTGACAAAGGTGGTTTTAATGTCCAATTTTTCATTCAATAATTGAATAATTGGAAGACCTTCGACAAACGACAAACAAGTCTGACAACAGCTGTGAAAAAAGGTATATATGTAATAAACATTAATTTAGATTTGTGTTTAATTGTTCTATGACTTATATTTTTTAACCGATAGTTCAATTGTTGGGAATGAACACATTTCATTAAATGATCAATAACATCGATAGGTATAATAATCGGATTCGATATTATCTGACAATGTCATAACGCTAGTGAGTATTTAGCATATACATTTCCCATACATATGTGTTACAACTTTTAAACAACATAAATATTATGTATACTGATAATGATTTCACAAAAATCTTACATCAACTTTATTTGAACTTTGTTGGATAGTTGTCTAATTGGCAAATCATACCTCATCTCGAGCTCCTTATTTTTATATGGAAGAACACTACAAATAAATATCACAAATACGTGAATACGTGAGTAACTAAATGAACTGAAAATTAAAGTGAAAATATGACTTTTCACAATACATTTGAAGAAGACATGTAAGATCATTAAAAGTAAATAACGCCACTACTAAAAGTGATTTAATGCTTACAAAGGATAGTTTCGTCACAAATCTACTCTAAAATATATTCAATTTATATAGTTCGTGTACAAAAAATGACCTTGTGTTTGAAAAGGAGAGCACCGTTTTCTTATCACTTATCGTATCGCTATACAGAAGATAATTACAATTGATCAATAATTCAAAGACAAGACATGCAAGACTGAGGACGAACAAAAATAAAAGAGGACATTTCGTCATAAATCCTAATTTTCAATTGTCTCTTTTGGATCCTTCATTTTGGACGATTACTGAATGTCAAAATATTTAAAACATATGTACGATGCCTGGAAATCATCTTAAGATATTCTAAGGAATACGTATTCAAAAGTAAAAGAATTGAAATGAAACTAATGTCGCAGTCCTTATTTCCTAACTCGTTTATCTTCAATCCAATATTGGAAACAAAAGTTTGAAACATTTGTGGAAATCTACAGTTGGTGTGCGGTGATTTTATCATGGATTTACATACTTAAATATATTGTGAAAAAAAGACTTGATGTCACAAAAAGTGGGATTGATGCAAAGACGGACAATTTCGTAGATGGATATACAAATACAAGGATTTACTCCAAAAAATTAGTAAAAGTACTTTAGAAAAAAATTGCCTTGCCACATACATCTTTCTGACCCGTTTAGTTAAGACACCAAAAATTCTTTTTGTATTAGTCAAAATATTTCAGTCCTAACGGATCAGGAAATATACCGTCAGAAATTAGTAAACTTGAGGGCAGCAATCTAGATAAAAACCAATCGGAATGACAGTTTGCTGAAATCACGGAAGAGCTTAAAAATAAATTCGTGACCATGTGAATACAGAACAATTATTTTCTATACAATGTAAATATAACAAGTTCGCAATACCCTTTCGTTGACAGAAAACAACGTATATGATAAAGGTAATGTTATATAATTATACTTATTTTACAGATTTAAAAAGAAGTATTATTCAGAAGATGATGGTAGCAATGTATCATACCAGGAAGACCTGACGAAGCAAACTGTACTTTTGAACCTATCTATAAACAAAAAGAGGCCGGTTTTTTATATTACAAAAATATATCTTTTTGTTTATAATAGTATTATTATAAAAACAAAACAACAAATCGACAATCTACCCATATAAAAAAGTTCGAATTAGCACATTAGTACATTTAAGACAAATGTACTCACGATAAATAAGATAAGCATGCTACATGATGAAAGGGTATGATTTCAAGATTCTTAGAGTTTTCCTTACATTTCGGGGTCGATCTGAAGTTATCCCATTGTTATTGAAAACATGCTAGAAGATATCAAGGAGGCAACGTAAAACCATAAGCCAGGAAAAGTTGACAAAACCATTGTCAATAGGACTTTCAAGATGAACAACACTCCATGAAATTTTTCGTAAAAATAAAGACTGAGCCACACGAACCCAAAAAAAGGGGTTGAACTCCGTAATTTTCTTTTTTTTTTTTTTTATTTTTCATTAGTGAAAAACGTTGAGTTATTCGTGTTATTCCGATTAGAACAATGTTATTTAATTCTAAGATCTAAGACTTCAGCCGTATCATTAAGAACTGTCAATCATTGTAGTTCTAATCTGTGAAGGTTCGATTTCATTTAATTGTAGCTCATTTTTAACGTGCTACTAATATTTACTATAAAAGAACTAGAGGAACTATTAAACATTGATTTTACCTAGTTTAATTCTTATAACAATTTCATTCAATGACAAAAACTCTTCTCAATCCACTAAAAATTGTACAATGGCATTATAAAAATAGGGAGATGGAGTATGATTACCAATGATCCACTAAATTCAAATAAAGTGGCTGTAAGCACTTATAGGCAAACGTACGGCTTTCAACAATGAGAAAACCCTATACCGTATAGTCGGCTATAAAATGCCCCGACATGAAAAATATGAAACAATTCAATTGAGAAAACTAACGGCCTAATTTATAACAAAACAATTTACGAAAAAACAAATATGACAGACATGAACCAACGACAACCACTGAACTACAAATTTCTGACTTAGGACAGGCACATAAAGAATATGACGGGGTTAGACATGTTTGTAAGCGCTCAACTTTCCCCCTAACCTTAGAAAATGGTGTAACAGCACAACATAAGAACAAACTATAAAAATCAGTTGAAAAAGACTTACAGGTAACTCATCAGATCGATGCTTATTTGTTTTCACTATAAGCTATTTTAACGTAACAAAAATATGTGTCAGTGTAATTGTATGCATCTCCAATAGTTACATGGTTGTTAATAGTTTTTCATCTTTTTTAATGATTCTGTTATCAATTTGGTTTGATTTGTACATTATATTACGGGAGATAACCGCGTTACACAAACTGGCAAAGAAACAACTCCTCAAATTAAAAATACATTGACGTTTGTGTTTCTAAAACTCTATTGGCCAAATTTGTACAAAGAAGATTGGGCAGATGAATGTATGGATGTATTGATTGATAGATTGCTGTTTATTGTCCACTGGCAAATATCGCAAGCAATATGAATATAACCCTGATCTGTTCTAGATTGACACGGCGAGTTCGGCTTTTAATGAGTTACTTTACAAGGTATTTTACCTACCTGTTCCGACTCGGGCGGATCATTCAAATGACACTTTGGTGTCAATATACGATCTTCAATAACTGTTTGGTACCATTGTTTAAAATTGTTGGAACCACAATCCCGACCTCTTTTCTTCGAATGTGACATACCAAATTAAACATATCAACGAGTTGGTACTTACATCAGCAACACGACGGGTGCACATGTGTAGCAGAATCTGCTTACCTATCTAGAGCGCCTGACATCACTCCAATTTTTGGTGGGGTTCGTGTTGTTTAATCTTTAGTTTTCTTTGTTGTGTTTTTTATACTGCTGTTTGTCTTTTGATCCTTTTTTTTTTTGCCATGGCATTGTCATTTTGTTTCTACTTATGTGTTTGAAAATTCATTTGATATTTTTGTCCTCACTTGAGTCAAGCTCTATATCGACCCGATTCTACAAAAGTTGATACGACAGAATATCTTCCGTTAAAACAACATTTTTAAATGGAGAGAAGAAAACAATTAAATATAAGACTAATGAAGTTCCTGGCATGAAATAGGCACATGAACATGTTGCAGGTTTAAAATTAATTATGCACCTACTTGTAAATTGTTGACCAATATTCTCCCTGAACCGGTAACAAAATAAGGAATAGGGCGATATGATCTTAAAGTGCTGATTAATCTTCTAAAATCAGAGGTTTTCATGAAAAACATAATATAATAAGTTTGTTGCATTTATTTTGTTTTTCTATTC